AATGCAATAGGTTAATCCATTTGTTTTGATTTATGAATAATGGAATACAGTGAAAAATCCGAGAAAGGGGGCAAATTTGCAACAACATTATACCATATGCATGATCGCAGACAGAGGAGGATCTTGTTAGGGCTATGGTGGGCTGAAGCGCAACGCAGGGCAACTTAAAAAACTTTCAATTTTTTAGTGTAATTTTTTCCATAACACTTTTAATGGATAAATGAAATGATGCAGATGGACAACACGACTCATCTCTAAAAAACATAAAGATGTGGCTTTTATGACTTCACAATTGTTTATTTTTATTCTATAGTATAGTACTCCGTACTATAGACCATATATCATCTCTTAAAATGATGTTTTCATATTTCTTATTTGCATCATATTTTGATCACATGTAAATGACATATGTTTTCATGTGTCATCCGGAAACAGTCTTTCTATTCTTTAGTACAAGGATAAGGTTGCATACACCTGACACTCCTAACCCCACCGTAAGAGGGAGCCTTTGTAGCACTGGGGTAATGTTGTTGTTATTGTTGTTGTGGATGACATATGTTTACTAGTAATATAATGAATATAATAACATAATAGTACAAGTAATCTTTTGTTGTCAGCAAGAAAATGTTTACTCACCATCTCCTGGAGAAACCGAAAACTCCTGTCAAATTTGAACTGCACTTCATCTGCAATCAAGAAGTGATCAAAGCCACTAGCATAAGGAGTGGCAATAACTAATATGCCCCTGCCCAAAACATAAAAAGTTAGTTACTTATTTACTATGCCACCATCATAGTTTCAAGTAAAATGGAACATGCAGAAAAAACTTGGACATATAATGTGGATCACGAGCACACAGGAGCCAACAAATATTTTCACAATTAGGATAAGGCAAGCGATAAGTGTTCTATACAGTGACTTGGGCATACAGATGGCATTCACAAAAGCAAGATTTTTTTTAATATAAATGAATAAGCTAAAACTGCCTAAAAGTCACCATCATAAATTCATAACAAAGAACAGAGATAGGAGATATATTAAATGAAAACACTCAAGTATGGATGAGGTACTCACTTCTCAGCGAGACGCTCCAGGAATAAGCGGTAGGTGAGCTGAGGAGCCGCCCCAACAAAAACCCCTCCAACAAAGTGTACAAGTAGTGTAGGTTTTGTGTGTCTTGGTCGTAAGACCCATGTTCCCTGACATAGTGTTTGCAAACCATTAAACATTGTTTCACAACTCCCTCAAAAAATTGCAAAACTTTATCTATTGATTTATTTGTTTCATGATAGCCTCTCAAATGTAATTGAATTAGATTGCCCCAACTTTCCTTGCAAACAAAATCCTTAATGAACTAGCAGAAAACCAGTCACAAAACAAATCAGCTCCGAGTAATCACCACATAAAGCTGTAGCCAATCAAATTAAATCAATGCGAATAACATAAACAGAATATGGATGTTCAAAACTTCAAATGATTAAGTGCTTTTGAAGCATCACTACCCATTAACTAATTTAGCTAGAATCAAATGGGAGTTTCACATGGGCTTTGATAAAAATTTGACTGCATATCATGACGAATTGATGCAAATAAACTTGAAAGTGGAAGGAAGTAGTCGTAGAAAACTCAGATGCTTCACTTTCAGATATAACATTATAGCATACGAGACAGCTCAGATTCTTAACATGATCGTTTTCAGTTCAGTACCTCAACTTCCTTCCAGTCTTTTAAGGTACCCCGAGCATCTTGAGAATGTTTCACCGTATCTGTGAGTAATCTGTATGTAATGAAAGCGTAAGCATACTGTACTGTTTTTTTTTTTCAGGACAGAAGCCGAAAGCTTAGCAGCTAACGAGGCCACGTTCTCAGCAGTTTTATTTAGAATGCTTTTATTCTCAATAAATCGAACAGATTGCCCTTATTCTATTATTAGCGAGTCAAATTTGTGAAAGTTAGAAATCGACAGAAGACCTTTCAATATTCCGATAAAGCTGAATCCCGCTTCTTTCCGGCTGGGTGTTTTCTGTTTTATCATTGAAGCTTCCACCACATACGATTCTGTCGCAGCGGCGGCCAAAACTACTGTTCCTCGTAAGCAGCCGAGACATTTTACTGATACGGATGCGACGCTTCTGGAGCAAAGAAGCAGAACTGATGAAGGGAGGATGAACATGACCATGTACCTGCTGCGCGCACAGCAAGCTCTCCATACCTTCGCCCTTTCTGTCGCCCACACAATTCTGCCTCTTGTTCACAGTTTTCGTTTGCGCTACAGTTTGCAGGAGGGAGGAAGTCTTGCAAGTGTTTTCGTGTTTGTTATGCTGATCAGCCTCACTGAGCATATCAGTTATCAGTATGATGACACTTTGCAATTGCTTCAACTATAAAAAAAGATCTGGAGAAAAGTGATTAATAGTAAAAGTTGGTAGTGTTTGAGGAAAAAGTGATTCTGAAAAAGTAAAAGTTGGTAGTGTTTGGTAAAATAAGTACTTTTTGTGTAATAGAAAAAGTGAAAAGCAGTTTAAAGCACCCTTCCACCTGCTTCCAGCTTTTAGCTTTTAAGCGATTAATTTAAGCAGAAGCTGTCATTTGAAAACACTTTTTTTAACTTTTTTAAGCCAAAAGCTGAAAAGTGCTTTTTTTAATCAACTGCAAACACTCCTTTAATTATTGACTTATTAAAAACGCAAGTGCTTGCTAAAATGCTTTCTTTGCTTTCACATTTATCTACTTTTGGTTTAGTTCAAGGATCTGGTACAAAATATATGACATTTTCTGATGAATATTACAAAATTAAATTCAAAAGATAAAAGTATGACTTATTTTAATAATTCAACCTTTTAGCAGTCTTCTTACAATAATCTCACATTTTCGTTATTTAAAAATAATCCAACATTTGCTCCTCATCTTCATTCGCTGGTCCCTGACCAGTTAATGATCTGCTATTCCAAGTTATTTTCTTATCTTTGCAAACCATTATACGATAAATCTCACCTTTCACAAAGATAATATTTTGCAAAGATAAGAAAATAACTTGGAATAGCAGGTCATCAACCGGTTAGGAACCAATGAATGAAGATGAGGTGCAATGGTTGGATTATTCATGAATAACGAAAAGGTGGGACTATTGTAAAAAGACCGCTAAAAGGTTGGATTATTAATTTCCATTTTCCCAAAAAATGGAAACTAATAATGGCATATTGTTAGACATATTCAGTGACTAGTTGTTAGACATGTTAGTGATGTGATTTGTCACTCTGAAATAAACTATAGTGATACTTATCTAGATACTCGTACATAGTGATTAGTCATATTTTTATCTAGAAATATAACTAGTCATATTTTTGTCTGATGCAAATCTGTTAGACATATTCATGCAATTTTTTCAAAAATAATCCAATATTTCGATGCATTGACATAATTATTTAATTATTTAATATTCAAAGCCACTTTCATAATTCATATGTAGCATCATTATTAACCATTTTTACTAAACATGTGATACTTTATGTCACGCATTGAATTATATAGTAAACAAAAGTTTCAAGTTAATTTCCTGATTGAAATTATTTAATTATTTTTATATAATTTGTTCTTTACTTTATTGATGCAGTATTATTTAGATATATTTTTCATAATACAACCGCAACAAATTTTGTCTAATTTCATAGACTCAACAAATTCAACCAAATCCCCTTTTTTATCGCGGAAGGTCAACCACCAAAATCAATAGAGTAAATGTCGGGGGACATTTACCAAATTTTATTAAAAAAATATTTAAAGTTACAGATTGAGGGAGGACTAGACCAAAACCCCCAAGAGGCATACCCCTAAAACAAACAAATGAACGAGAAAGAAGAGAAAAAATATTGGGGGGCTAGACCTGACCCGATATTACAAAATAGAAAAAAAGGAAAAACAATTGGGGGGTTAGGCCTGACCCAAAATTAGACAATAAGATTAAAAAAAATAAGCTTAAATTAATGAGTCTAAGAGAAGGCACCCCAAATAAATCCATAAAGAATGCATTTTTAGCTTGGGCCGGTAAATCTGAAGAGTTAGCAAAAAAACGTCTGATGGGCCGAACATTGATTTGCTAAGTGGTGTGCAGTCCAGTTTGCTTCCAGGCTTCCAGCATGACACAACCAAATCCCTGTGCATACATCTTCTTACATGCATGGCAGAACTAGGTTGGTTTAGATCTATACAAATAATTCCTTAATTTCACACAAGTTCTATCCAATCAGGACTTAATTTTCTATGATACAACAAATTCTTTAGTTTTCATCTCTTCATTTTTTTGGCATTTGAAGATTAAGAACCCGTTTGGTAACACTGAAATCGGCTGAATCGGTTGTTTATGTTGATATTTATGAACTTCTGGCTGATGTAGCTGTATTGGCTGATTATGCTGATTTATGACAAAATCATATATAAAATATACGGAGTATTTTATTAATAAAATAAAGAAAAAAATATTTTAAAAAATAGCTAAAATGATCCTCTACAGTAACTTCAGCCAATACGGCCAGAAAAGTAACTGCAACCTTACTTTTCTTATTATTACACAATTCGACGTGTGAAATCAAAAGTTACATGTTTGGTGAAAAAGTTGACCGATAAGACTGATGAGCCAGAAAACATTCTCACCAAAGGGTTCTAAATTTCATGAATGTTAATACTCCCTCTATCCCTATATAAAGAGCATATTTGCTTTTCACACATTTTTTTGGGAGGAACACTGTTTGGCACTATTTGGACACTGTTTGACGCGGTTTTGCGCTGTTTTGTTTGCCAAAGGGGGAAATGTGCCTTTTATATAAGGACGACCCAAAAGGGAAAATGTGTCTTTTATTGCGGGAGTATCTAATTATGATTTCTACTTCATTTGCTATCGCTTTGCACACTTGCTATACATACTCATGTCCGAGTTACTTGCAAGTTACAAAATGACAATAAAAAATCAATTATCACACCAAAAAATTCGGTATACACGAGTACCAAAATTTTCCCTTTAGATTTAGCTATTGGAGGAATGGAGGCTGCTTTTTATCAAAACAAGCAGCCGTATATTACGTGTGAAATAAAGAGAAGTAAAGCTGGGCAGGTGCATCATTCAATTCCTTGAATACCGCCACATGCCATACCCCATACTGGCAGTTTCGATGCTCTGCCATTACATTGAGCTGCCCAAGCTGCCTGTGATGTCATATCTAAGTATCTAACCCTGGATATCATTGACAAGTCTCATGCAAAAACTCAGCATCATGCTATACACTTAACTATAGGATTGCACTTGCCCATCTAATTAAACAATAGCTAGTCATCAAGACTAATCTTTCTGAATGAAGCTGAGAATATAACTTACAATTCCTAATTCAAAGAAGATTTAAAACTAGAAGATTGAAAATACAATCTTCAGAGGCCATCCTTAATGCCAAACCTTATATTTTGCACCTTTATTGACAGTTTTTGTCTATGGTCTTCTATATCCTTCAAAACTGATAGAAGGTTTGCACGGTAAACTTCACATTTTCTATTGGCGATAATCAATTCATTAGAAAGTTCAAGGATCTTCCTGTCCATGTCATCCTGCAAAAAATATGTTTTTAGGATAATAAGACAAAATAACGGAACTATGTAGAATACACATCTATCTGACAAAACATTATGATAAGACAGGCAATTGTGGTAAAAATACATGTAAGAATAACTGTTGAAATAAAAGCACTTCTGTTAGGCTTTGTTTGCAACCACTTCTGTTTAAATAAAAGCGCTTTTGGGGAAAAAGTGATTAGTAGTAAAAGTTGATAGTGTTTGGTAAAATAAGTACTTTTTGTGTGATAGAAAAAGTAAAAAGTAGATTCTACACGGAATCCGAGAAAGTAAAAGTTGATAGTGTTTGCTAAAATAAGTGCTTTTTTCTTTAAAAAAAAAGTTAAAAGCACTTTTTTTAATGGGTTGCAAACAGACCCTTAATCTCCATGGTGAAAGCAAATTCTGCTTCTTAAAAACTATATCCGAGGTATAGTTCATACCATAGATACATAAATCGCTAGGGATGCCACGATCTGCGAACCGAACGTTGCGTACCCAATCGCGGTACGAAAGCGATTCCAAACGATATTAATCGCTAAACGGTACGGTCGTCCAGTCGATCCCAATCGCTATTCCAAACGATATTAATCGCAGTTCAAAATCGATTCCCAAGGCTTTCAAACTCGATAAAAAACGAATCTTAGTCATTCCCAAACAGTTTCCCCTGCGAACGCGTTTGTAAAGGTCGTTTCCCCAAGTCAATCGTCATTTGAAAACAAACGCGCAGATTTGAAATATTTGTACAGGTAGGCGCTTCGTTTCAGACGCCGGTACTAATAGGCGTACATATTCCAAACCAGGCTCTTCATTTTCTGATCCACTCATCTATTTTACCTTCTAACCATTATAATTTGAGAGAAAATTAATGTTTTCTGGAATATCTACGTTTTCTGAAATATTATTATTTTTTATTTTGTTTAATGTTATGACTTATGATTAAGAAATCTGTTTTTATTAATTGTTATGACATATGAAATCTGTAATTTAATCTTATTATAGTATTAAAATATAAGATACAACGTACTGAACATGTGGTACATCGTACCGAACACGTACCGGAATGAACCTACCCCCTCTGAATCGGATACGCTAGATCTAGCAAACCGCGTTCCCGATCCTCGTTCCCGTACCAAAGCGTTCCGCGAACTATGTGACTATGGTTCATACCATCGTGTGCACATTATCCATTAGTTGATTGCAAACACAATAAGTAACTAACACAGAGATAAATTGTGTAATAAGGATCACATGAATCTATGATAGCCAGCTCCAAACAGGCAGGAAGTTTAGCTAAACTAAATAGGGCTACTAATTCTTTTAACTGTTAGGGGAACCTCCTCGATTTGTTAAATGGCAATCAAATAGCATTTGTTTTTGTTGGCAGCCTGTAGATGCTGAATGAGCTATTTCAAAAGCATGTTCATGAATAATATTCACTTTCGGCCCCTGGACTATCAATTCGTTAGCACTTTTGGTCTTGTACTTTAATTCTTTTCCACTTGTGGAGCACAAATATGGATTGTTTACTACTTATGGTCCCTCATGGTCACTTATCCAGCAAAAAACTAACTCAAATTGTGAGAAAGTTCGCTGGGGAAGTGACCTGAAACAGACTTTAAGTGGGAAGAATCCACAGACATGTTCCAAAAAAAAATAAAAATGAAAGTCAGCTACCAAAAGTGAATCAATTAATTGTCATGGGACCAAAACTGGAAAAATTTATGTTGGTCATTGCACACAGCTTCAAAAATGGATGGGGAATTGGGCAATAACTGAATAGACACCAACCTCAGACGATGGCTTTGTGAAGGTCACATTCTGATCCTCCACAGCATTGGTACCCTCCCTGGTACCATCACTTTTTGATTCATTTTGGTTACGCCCACTCAAAAGGGAGATCTTCTCATTTGCTAGAGAAACTTTTTTTGAAGCCTCACCCAAAGCAGCCATTGCCACACTATAAGTGTGCTCTGATTCCGCCCCTGTTTCCACAAATTTGAAAACCTCTTGTCTCAACGTATTAAACCGAACAGTATGCGATTCCAAATATCCACTCAACGAGCCTGGAACCTGTTCCTCAAGTGTAACAGAGCTCTTTGCACTCCTCGTCCATCTCTTCAACACATAATGAGAGGGAAGTGTTGGAACATTTGTCACTCTGAAAACCGCCAACACATGTCCGCATAGAAGACCTGAGAACTCAAACATCTGACAACTACATGTGGCTTTCATCTCAAGAACGTTAAATTGGACGTAGTAAGTTTTTTTCTCACCAAGAAACTTTATAATTCGGAACTTTGTCACATCCCCATTGTCCTCGACCTTGGTTGCCATGAAAGAGAGAGTGTCGACCAACTCTTGCTGGAATCTCATGAATATCTTCCTTGTGTATACCTCAGATGCTTGTTTCTCCATAGGAGAGGGGGTTTTCAAAGCAGGAAGGGCATTCAAGGTATCATAATCGGCTTTAACCTCCTTCTCAAGGCGACTTTCTAACGCTTTCTCATACAGTTTGAAGAACTGGTTTAAATTGGTTGATGCATTCACATACCCATCAAAATAAGAGTTCATGCTATCACTACGCTGAGTTATAGACATTTCAGCAAAAAAAGAGTCACGCAGATAAACAGGCACCCAATGGCTACGATCTGAGTAGATGTATTGAAGCCAATCGTGATCCCTTAGGTCATATTTATCCACCAAAGAAAACCAACAAGATTCATACTCCTCTACGGATTCTGTCAAGTTAACACACTTGTGAAAGTCTGCTTCAAAATTAGGATACTTGAGAAACACGTGAGACAGCCTCTCTTGGCATTTCTTGAATATATGCCACTTGCAGAAACGGTGACGAGTCTCCGGGAAGACCTGAGTAATGGCGGATCGAATCACTTCGTCATGGTCCGTTGTGATTGAGAGGGGGGGTTTACCCAACATAGATGAAAGCCATGTCTTAAAAAGCCAAACAAATGACGCTTCTGATTCATTTATCAGGAACGCACAACCAAACAACACCGGCTGGCCATGATGGTTCACTCCGGTGAAAGGTGCAAACGGCAATCTGTACCTGTTTGATCTGTAGGTTGTGTCAAATGTGACTGCATCCCCGAAATACTTGTAATTTGATCTAGCCCTGTGATCTGCCCAGAAAACATTCCCCATGAATTGATCATCTTCATCAGCTTGAACAGCGTAGAAGAAATCGGGGTTTTGGGCATCCATCTGTCTCAGGTAATCAAGTAGGAGTTGTATGTCACCTTCAAGGCTCCTCTGACGATTATTCCTCATGTAATTCCTGCAGTCCACTTCTGTGAACCCAACTTTGCTAATTCCACCATACTCTTTGATAAGGGCGGACATGATCCTCCGAGGTCCCATCCCAGCAGCCTGCAAGGTGTCTATGAGGGTCTTAGCGGGACCAGAGATCTGACGGTGGGAACGAAGGCAGTGGACCTGATCAGGAGGGACCAACTCGTGATTGTGTTCTCTGACGAAACTGGATACGACCCATTTGCCCGAATCCTGTATTTTGACGGACAGAGCCGCCTTGCATCCAACCCTGGTGATTATGCGCGGCCGTTTGATTTCTCTGTCCTTGGTACGCTTCTCGTTCAAATTGCGAAATCCCTCTTTAGAACAGACGAAGGATCTCTGTATGATAGCCCCATCTTTCCGGGACCGACGTGATGAGCTGACCCGGGTGCTGAAGCCAACACGGCGTGCGTACGAGTTGTAGAATGCCTTGGCTGCCTCTTCTGATTCAAATTCCATACCCTCGTAAGGTTCCAGGTCGAGGTCCCCGGAGGGGAAGTATATCCTATCCACAGTACACTCTGCATCGTTGTTTATTGCGTGAGAATATTCAGGCACAGTTTCGTCATCCGCCATGAGTTTTAGAATGACGTCTCCATCTCCATCTTCGTCTTCACTCCCGCCTCCGCTTCCAACACCGATGTCGAACTCAATTACCTGGCTCTCCATCTTTGCAAAGAGATTCAGCGCCTTATGCAAGGACTGTTTCAAATCTATACTACAATACCAGCTACTATCGGAGAAGAAAAAACATGAATTGAAGGGGGGAAAGATTTGTACTACCTAGTTAATAGAGACCCATTAGAATATTCTTTCGTGAGGTCTGTAGGGTATTTCCTCCCATTTCCAATTTTCCAGTGATGCTTCATCCAAACCCAATTGCTCAGAAGACATCAATCATTCAGAGAGGGCGAAAAGTTACAATGAGAGAATGGACTAGAAATTAGATTTTCAGCGGGAGGGAACTGTGTGTGGTCGCCTGGATGGCGTGCGAGTTGAAGAAGGGAGAGGTGTGTGGCAAGTTGTCAAAGCCTACAGGTGTGACATCTTATTTTTTTTTTTTTTTTTGAGAAAACTATCACATACACCCTCTTATTACGTAGGAAAAGACATACTTTAAAAATACTCGGTTTAACCATTGAACTCCAAAAAACTAGGGATTCCTTGTTATGTCGTTTGGGTTAACAAACGCCCCAGCGGCATTCATGGACTTGATGAACCGAGTATTTCATAAATACTTGGACCGATTCGTGATTGTGTTCATAGATGACATCTTGATTTACTCAAAGAGTGAAGAAAAACATGAGGAGCATTTGATACTTGTCCTTGAGACACTACGGGAGAAGCAGCTCTATGCCAAATTCTCTAAATGTGAATTTTGGCTAAAAGAAATTGGCTTTCTCGGGCATGTAGTTTCGGGATCAGGAATTGCTGTTGATAGCAAGAAGATAGAAGTCATTACCGAATGGGAGAGGCCAAAGAACGTCAAGGAAATTCATAGTTTCCTTGGGTTGGCATGCTACTACAAAAAGTTCGTGGAGAAGTTCCCCGTTTTGGCATCACCGTTGACGAAGCTCACTCGTAAAAGAGCTAAGTTTGTATGGGATGACAAATGTGAGGAAGGGTTCATTGAACTAAAGAAGAGATTGACCGAGGCGCCTGTACTTGCATTACCCAAACAGGGTATGGGGTACGATGTGTATAGTGACGCGAGCATCCAAGGGTTTGGATGTGTGTTGATGCAGGAGGGAGGGTAATTGCCTATGCTTCACGACAGTTGAAGAAGCATGAGGTAAATTACTGATGTGAGTTTTCTCGCACTTAAAATAGATCGTAATATAGTGGTGTAAGTACGAGTATCGTCTCCACAGGGACAGACAAAAGGGAATCAAGAATTAATTAAATTCAGCGATTAAAAAGAAAATAAAATAAAAGCGTCGTGCGAGATTGGTTGGTTTGGAAAATAAAACTAATGCGAACAATTAAACTAGGGGGTTCTTTCTAATTAATGACGAAGGGAACAGGGATCGATTCCGGGGTAACCAGATTTCTGGCAGATCAGGCCTATTTACATGAAATTAATTTAATTGAGCCTAGCTAATCATTACTAAGTTCTTACCGCTCTCGCGGCATAGAGTACAATAATTTAGGGGACCAGGCTGATCTCTCATGCGACAGGATCCTAAATTATTGCCAAGACGAGCGAGCTTACGGCCCCTTAATCGCTACTAATCTCTTAGCGAACGATTAAGTGTGTGTGAATGTGTCCTAGAACAAATTAGATATCTCTTAATTTATTCTACATGCAATTGTAATTCTAGTCGCGATTCTAGGTTACAAAAGATATCAATTAAATTATTCAAACACAAATTAAACGGCATTCATGCAATTAAACCGAAAAGAATCTAGCCATACATCATGATTAACCCCTTCATCAATCCCAAATGCCTAATTAAAACTACTCACAATTCATAATTGAAGAATCAATAGAATTGGAATAAAAAGAATTAATTGTCATTAATTAAAAAGATGGAACTTACAAAAAATCCAAAAAGATTGATGAACAAGGCTGAAAAGCCCTCTAAAATTCGTGCTAGGCACTCTCTCTAAGCTCCCCCGCGAAAACGGGATTTACAAGCTGTTTAAATAGGAAAAACGGAGCAATTCGGGCGGAATTAGGATTCCAGGGGCAATGCACGGGGACAACGCACGGCGTGCGTCCCCCAGTGCGTCCGGAGGGTAGCCGCGTAAAAATATGGAACGCACGGCGTGCGTCCCCCAACGCACGTCCGTGCGTTGCTGGCAGTATCTTCCTTGCTTTCTCGCCTCAGACGCACGGTCGTGTGTTCCCCTACGCATGGCGTGCGTAAAACTTCCGAATTGGACCAAACTTTCTTCATGAAAGTTGTAGATGATGAAGTCATCTATCCACCACAACTTGCCGAATTGGATTTGGATCATCCAATCAAGAGATATGAATAAAAAGGTGGAAGGTCTCATTCTGAAATCGCAGCAGGGATCATCTGACTTCATTGTCTGTTTTCATCTTCTTCCTCTCGGATTCTCGGAATGATGTCTTCATATGATTTGTAGCCCTTGAAGTTAGCTTTCATATGAAACTTGAATCGTGTCCATTGGTTGTTTCTACAAAGAGATATGCTTGAACGATTGATAGAAGGTCATCATGATTGTCGTTTTCAAGCTTCATTCATCTTCTTTTGATCTCATAACCAATCCTAGAGCTCTTTTGTCATCAAATCTTCACCGTAAACCTTCTGGTGACCTCCAAATCTCAATCCACTCTCGAATGCATCTCGAATCATCCCGATTGCTCATCAAGCGCCGGTGCCGAACTCTAAATTCCCGATTTTGACTCCAAATGACACAAAACTCGAACCAACACCTGGTAAACATAACTTGAGCTAAAATTGAGACTTGCAACACCTTAAAGATAGGAAAACCATCAAAATCCAATCCCAACACGCATCAAATGCGTGTCTAAATACGGACTTATCAGATTCCCCCACACTTAAGTCTTTGTTTGTCCTCAAGCAAACTGAACAACGGGACTTACGACAATCACCACACGGAATTTAAAACAGTTAGCATGCACCCGTAGTTACAGAGATATTCACAGAACAGACAATCTAAACCAAGAAAATTCTTCCCTAAACTACATCTTTGTACTCAAGCTAAACTATTTGACGAAGTATTCACAACATCCTTAAAGTAATGACAACATACACAAATAAACTAGCTATTGATCAGAAGAACTTGCGAAGGTGGTGATGAATGGTTCATGGAAAACAATAATAGTCTCTTTCTTTAGAGAGATTGGAATATTCTAACAAAGACTCAATGCATTCAGGAACTTCAGGGCTGTTCTTAGGAACAAGGAACTCAGTAAGCCACAATTTAGGAACAATCATTTAAACCTATGCAAAGAGTAGACATGGTGTACAACTAAGCTAAACCGTCTATGGTGTACAACTAAGCTAAACCGTCTTGGCACATTTGTACTTTGACGTATACTTGAAGTACGCGGAGGACTAAAGCTAAATTTTGAGAAAGCCTCCAAGTTCATTAATTTAAGTGTAGTTTTCCTTGTCATGTTGGCACGAGAACGCCGTTTCTTTCGAAAGATACCCAAGTCTCATCTTACGCTTTTTGACCGGGACTCACATTCTCTTTTTCGCAAAGTAAGAGGTCTAGCTATATTAATTTTTCACCTTTCGGATTCTCACTAGACATTACCCCATTCTAATCTCGGCCTCACCAAGGAAAAATAGCAGTTAAAGTTCATTAATTTCAAAGTGAATCCATGCCTACAATGCAATCCTCAAAAGTATCATATTCCTAAAAGATTACTGCTCTTACCCCATTTGGGGCATAGGAACAGTGTCAAAAATGGCTCCTACAAAAATTCCTTAAACTTAGCAAATTAATCCCCTGGTTCCCTAAACATCAAGACTATGTCAGAAATATTCACGGGTAAGGAACACAGGCCATTTGGCTATGGAGCTCAATTAATTGGGTAACAAAGAACGGTCAGGTTCAAAATGGCTTCTCCTAAAGGAACTTATTTAGGTAAATGGGAACTTTGTCAGTTCATTCAATGGGTGACTAATGTCTTCATCCTATCAACAACTAAGTTATCATGCAAGCAATTTAAGCCTAAACACTTCAAGGACATTCTAAAAACATAGTCAAAACACTAGCCAGTTCACAAAGACACAGTTTAAAGAAAAAATTTCAAAAATTTTGACACGACTTTTCCTATGAATATACAACTAACACCTGCGCATGCTAACTCTAATAATCACATGTAACAACTACTGCCCGAATGCCCAATTCACTCCCCCACACTTAAACTTTGGCATCACCCTCGATGACAAAAAATGCACTATACACAAGGGGGTAAAGAGGATAGGGTCACACGTGCTCAACTTAGCTCAAGTCAATTATTACAAAAAGGCGATTAAAAGAGTCGCGGAAACTTCCCTAAGGCGCTGGTCGGTGCAGAACTAAACTGAGTCAAGTGATCCTTGGCACATCATCCCCAAAGCAAGACCCTGAGCTGCAAAAACAAAACACACAAACACAAAAACAAACCCAAAAAACAACCCGAATTTTTTTTTGGTTTTTTTCGGGGGTTTTCTGAAAGCAAACAAACAAAAACAAATGCAGAAATAAGCTTGGGTTGCCTCCCAAGTAGCGCTATTTTTAACGTCGTTTGCCCGACGCAACCACCTCATCAAAAACTCAGTCAAAGACACTCCTGCTAAGAAAATTAGTCTTCCACAAATCAAACCTTCTATCAACAAATGCCCTAAGATGGCGTAAGACCTTAAATTCATGAAAACAATTATGCATCTCAGGGTCACCCGTAAAGCAAAAGAATGGATCGTGGCCTTTATCAGGCCCTTTAGCAAAGAATGGGTCAAAGAATGGACAACTCCCTTTCATGTCAAAAATTTTCCGGGCTAGAGCTTCCCTTTGTTCACTAAGTAAATTAAAACATGCTAAATTTTGGGATGGCTCAAGCTCGGGCGTAAGAATAACAGGGGGTCAGGACTATTATCAATAAAATCATACTCAAGGTGGAATGGAAGAGACTTTAGATTTAATGGAAAAGGACTAACAAAAAAGGAATCAGACTCAAAATTTTCCTTCTCCACCTTATCTAAATCATCTTTCGTCCCCTGCACAGAACTAGCATCACTTGAGTCCTTCTCTCCACTAATCATAAGACAATCAAAACTAGGGAGGAGCTCAAGATCCTCTGCTGACACACTATCCTCCAACAAAAGGTCAAAAAGGGCTTCATTAGAAAGCATGTTAGGGGTGCAATCCTCCACCATAGAATCTATGCCATCCAAATAAAAACACTCTCCACTATCCTGACAAGGCCTCTTCATTATTTTGGACATATCAAAGGTGGCAGTCTCATCCCCAACGCGGAGGACAAGCTTACCGTCTCCAACATCAATAAGTGGTCGGGCAGTTGCCAAGAATGGTCTGCCCAAAATCAATGGTACCTCCCGATCCTGATCCATGTC